ATTAATTATATCTTTTTTCTGCCTTTCTACTTTTAACCAATTTTTAACTTTCTCAAGTGTTTTGCTCTTAAACAGCATACAATTTGTTCTTGCTTCTATGTCCAATTTGCTTTGGTTCTTTATTTGAGTATTTAAACTATTTTAAATTTTATTTAATTACTGATATAGTTAGGTTTAAATCTATAACTTTGTTATTTGTTTTCTATTTTTGCATTTGTACTCTTTCTCTTTATATTATTGTATATTAATTTTGCAAAATATTGAGTTTCAGTGTAACTTTGATAAAATATTATATTATCCATCCCTCTTTGCCCTCCCTTACTTCTCCTCCTCCTTATTCCCTTCTTCTTGTCTAAAAATACTCTTACTTTTACTTTCACATCAGTTTGTTTAGATTTCACATACTACAGAAAATTTGTGATACTTGCCTTTTTGAGTCTAGCGTATCTCACTTAACATGGTGTTCTCCAGTTCCATCCATGTTTCTGAAAATGATATGATTTCATTGTTCTTTATGACTGAGTTTCCTTTTTTCTGTTTTCTTTGAAATTAATTAACTGTTTTTGTGATTTTGTTTTATCTAATGCATTAGTTTAGTATCTATGACTCTTCTGTTATTTTAGTGATTACTTCGGGATTTACTGCAAGCATCTTTAACTTATCACAGTCTACCTCAAATGGATATGCACCGCATCATGTATTCCAATGGGCTTTGTAATTCCATGTGCTCATTCCTCCCTTCCCAGCCACTGTGCTATTGCTGTCATAGATTTTACATTTTACATGCATTACAAAATACAGGATGTTATTATTTTTGCTTAAACAGTTCACTGTCTTTTATAGATATATAGTAATATTTCTGGCGCTCTTTTTTTTTTTTTTTTGCTTTTTTAAAGATCCATGAAACTTTACTTCTATCATTAATTAAGTTTATTGGTACAGTTTAGAATACATATCGATCACATTCATCACATGGAACTTGTAACTCTACATGATACAATCAATTCTTTTTTTCCCCATTCCTCTTCCCTCCCTTCTGCCCCTTTTTCTCTTATTTACGAAATCTTTGTTTCCATTTTATCTTTCTTTCATTTTTCTTTTGCCTTCCTTCTTTTCTCACCCACCTTTCCCTTGTGCCTCTTCCCATTTAAACATTTTTTTCCAATTTTGTGATACCTATTATGCATTCTGGTCCTTATTTATCTCACATCACAGAAACAATGTGATGTTTACACATGTGTGTCTGATTTATTTCACTTAAGAGTACGGTCTCTAGGTGCATCCACTTACCTAAAAATGTCTCAAGTTTATTCTTCTCTATACCTGAGTAGTATCCTCCCCATTGCATAAAAATGCATATCTTCTTTGTCCATTCATCAGTTGATGGGCATTTGGGCTGTTTCCAAGAATAAGCTGTTACAAACTGTGTTGCTGTGAACATGAGTATACATGTATTGCTGTAATATGATGATTTTATTTCTTTTGGGAAGATGCCAAGAAGGGAAATAGGTGAGTCAAATAGAACCTCCAGTTCTAGTTTTTTGAGGAATCTCCACACTGATTTCCACAGTAGTTGTACCAGTCTACACTCCCACTAACTGTGGAGAAACTTCCTTTTCCACCACAACCCCTCCAGCATTTATTGTTGGTTGATTTCTTGATGTTAGCCATTCTTTCTGGAGTGAGATGGAATCACAACATTGTTTTAATTTGTGTTTCTCGAATGACCAGTGATGTGGAACATACTTGCACATATTTATTTGCCATGCGTACTTCATTTGAGAAGTATGTATTCATTTCAGATACCCATGTTTGGATTGGGTCTTTAAATTTTGGGAGTTTAATTCTTTTCAATTCATTAAATATTCTAGATATTAGTCTTTTGTCTGATGAACAGCTGACAAATTATTTTCCCACATTGTGGGTTGGTAGTTTATTCTGTTGGTGGATTCTCTTACTGTGCAGAAACTTTTTAATAAGATGAGATCTGAGTTGTTTCTTCTTTGTAATATTTCCTATGCAATTGGAATTTTGTTCATGAAATCTTTGCCTATTCCTGTGTCTTCAAGAGTTCTACCTATTCTCTCTTCCGTTAGATTTAGTGTTTCTGTTTTAATATTTAGATCTTTGATTCATTTTCATTTTAAGTTAGTGCATGGTGAGAGACATGGGCCTTGTTTTAGTTTTTGGCATGTAGAAAGCCTGTTTTTCCAGCAGCATTTATTCAAGAGACTATCCTCCAGTGAGGATATTTGGCCCCCTTGTTGAAGATAAGGTTATGAGTGTGTTTGGAGTTATTTCGGAATCTTCTAATCTGTTCCAGTGATCCTCAGGTCTGTTTTCTTGCCAGTACCATTCTGTTTTTATCACAATAGCTCTGTAGTATAACTTCAAGTCAGGGATTGTGATACCCCTTGCCTTGCCTTTGCTTTCATTATTCCAGGTTTCTCCTGGTTCCAAATGAATTTTAGTGACCTGTTGCTCTAGTTCTGTGAGGTATTTTGTTGGTATTTTGATTGGGATTGCATTAAATCTACATGACAGTTTTGGGAGTGTTGCCATTTTTACTATGTTGGTTCTAAGTTCAAGGGATATGTTTCCATGTTTTGATACCCTCTTTGATGTAATTTTTCAGAGTACTGTAGTTTTCAATGTAAAGATATTTTCCTTCCTTTGTGTTACATTGATTCCTATATTTTTTCCATGCTATTGAGAAAGGCATGATTTTCCTAATTTTTCTCTCAGTTTGTTTGTTATTTGTGCCCAGGAATGTATTGGGTTTTTTGCTATTGATATTTGAGTGTTAACTTTGTATCCAGCTATGTGAATGAATTTGCTTATTGGATCTGGAAGTCTTTTGGTAGAGTTTTGGGGTCTTCTATGTAGAAAATTACGTCATCTGCAAAGAATGATAGTTTTCTAGTGCCCTTTTTTTCCTTTGTGTCGATCCATATTTTCATCTGCTATCATTTGCCTTCTATTTCTGAAGCATGAGTCTGCTAGTGACATATTCTGTGAGCTTTTGTATCACTAAAATGTCTTTATTTGGCATTCATTTTTTTTCCTGAAGAAAGAATCTCACTACATAGTTGAGTCTTTCCTTGAACTTACCATATAGCCCAGGTCAGCCTTAAAGTTGTGGTGACCCTCCTGCCTCAGCCTTCCAAGTGCTGAGATTAAAGGAGTGCAATACCACACCTGGCTGGCATTCATTTTTGCAAGATGCTTGTCTTGATTTGTTTTGTGCTGTTATATCAGAATACCACAGACCAGGCAATTTATAATAAAAAGAGGTGCATTGGCTCATGGTGCTAGAGGCTGCAAAGCCCATGATTGAGCCAGCAGAGTCTGACAAGGCCATTCTTGCTGCATCATCTCATGGCAGGTAAGCAAAAAGAGTGAAAGAAAGCAAAAATTCAAACTTGAATTCACAGCTTCAGGCTCTTTTACCACTGGCATCAATCCAATTAGAAGGTGGAGCCTTCATGATCTAAACACCTCTCAGCGCTGTTACGGTAGCAATTACATTCAAAAATGTGGTTTGAGGGAGGCTTTTCAACTATGACAACATTGTGTCTGATATAGAATCCTGGGTGACATTTTTGTGTTTTCCTGCCTGTCATAAAGATTTTGGCCACTGTCTTCTCATCTGCACTGTTTACAGTGAAAAGTCTTACCTTTCTCTCTGCATGTAATATGTCTCCCCCGACCCCCACCTCTGACTGCTTGTAAAATGTTCTGTTTCTGCCACTGCTTTTGAGCAACTTGCTTATAATTTGTCTTGGTGTAGTTTTCTTACACTTGGAATTTGTTAAAGTCCTTGGAACTGTGAGTTTATCATTTTCATCAAGTTTGGAAAACCTTTGGCCATTAGTTTTTCAGATATATATTTTTCCCTCTCCTCTCTTTTTCTCTTTTAGCAACTCCAATTACATGTATATGAAGCCACTTGAATTTCCCCTACAGTTCACTGATTCTCTGTTCATTTTTATGTTGTTTTCTTTGTGTGTTTGATTTTGAATATTTCTATTGCTTTGTGTTCAAATTCACTAACCGTTTCTTAATCTCTTAATCCTCAATGTGGTTTTTACCTCACATGTTGTAGTTTTCATCTCAATAAGGTTAATGTGAGTCTTTTAAAAGTATCTCCCATGTCTCTACTTACCTTTTTTAACATACAGAATACAGTTATAATAACTGTTTTTAATGTTCCTGTTTCCTAATTCTAACATCTGTATGACTTCTGATACAATTATAATTATTTGGTTTATCTTCTTACTGGTTAGTGTACTTATTCAGCCATGCTAGATAATTTCAGAAAGGATAACAGACATTGTGAATTCTACCTTGTTTGGTCTTTTATATGCCTATGTCCCCATAATCAGTGGTTCTCAGCCAATGAATGATTTTGTTTATCTGGACATATGCTTGGTTATTAACTAGGGTTGCTATTGGCACCCTATCAATAGAAACCAGATATGATGATAAATATTCTACAGTGCACGTGTCTGTAATCCCAGCTAGTGTGGAGGCTGAAACAAGAAGATCACAAGTTTCAGGCTAGCCTGGGAAATTTAGCAAAAGCCTTTCTCAAAATAAAATTTAAAGGCAGGAGGATGGGAAAGCCCTGGGTTCAAACCCGAGTTTGGGGAAAAAAAGAATGAATGAATGATTGAATGAATGAGAAAAAAGGAGGGAGAGAGGAAGGCAGACAGACCATAAATGGGGAGCAAAGAGGAAGAAAACTGAGGACAAGAGAAGAATACAAAAAGCTAAGGAAAGACTGAGGAGCCAATATTCCAGTGCAGACTATGACCATGTTCCGCGAAGTACTGCCAGGAAGGAGGAAGCTGGGTACAGACCCCAGAGAAACACGGAGCATCCAGACCACGACAATATAGACGTGTGAGTATCTCCCAGAGAGGCCACCTGGTGCTTTTTTTCCCGGAAGCTATGTGTCCTTCAACAAAGAAACTGACGCCTCAGGTTCAGGAGGCGGATTGGCTCACTGGCTGGGCAACAGCTGGGTGCCCTCAGGTCTCCTGCCAGCGACAGCCGCCATCCACAGCCAGCTGCCTGAGAGACAAGGAGAGTGCTTAATCAACCGTCTGAATGTCCTCAGAGGACACGGCTTTCAGTTACACAGCAAACAGCTGGCTCCTGAGAGGCTGTGTCCTGGGCTCTGCGACCTGGTGGCTCCAGTGAGTTTAAAGTTCAAGTGCTTTCTCCATCCTCATGTCCAATTCCGGAGTGGGGGCTGCTCAGCTGCACCGCGGCCTGACATAACTTTTTTTTTTTTTTGTCTTTTTCCTTTTTATCGGTACCAGGGATCGAATTCATGACTGCTTGCTTGCAAGGCAGGCACTTATGCCGCTGAGCTAAACCCCCAGCCCCTGATATAACTTTTTTAAAAGAGTCTCCTTCTGAGGGATCGATCTCCAAAAAGAACACAACGTTTTCTGTCGCCAGGGCTTGTGCAAATTGCTTTCAGACTCTGCCACCCGCGGCAGCAGACAGCGGCTGACTTTCCAGTATGAAGCCATTTGCTGGCGGGGTACCAGGACGGACTGGCGGTGGCACAGGGCCGTGCCAGCAAGGCCCAAGAAGAGCACGAGCTCGCTCCGCGGAGGCGCATCGCCCGCCTGAGGGGGCCAGCACAGGGCTCGCCCCGCGCCTTTAGCGCCGGGCTGGAGAACAGCCCCTGGGCGCTGCTGCCCTGGTGGAGGCGGGGGTGGAGTAGGCAGCGCTGCAGCAGCCCTGGGGACCCCATCCCCAGACAGGACGCAGCTTCCTGCGCTAGCAGAACCCCAGAACGCTGCAACTAGAGGCTCCCGCCCCCACCTATTCCCACCCAGCCCCAAGAATCAGGGTTCCTGCCTTAAACAGGGCGGAATTTAGAAACCAAACCAGCAATAAAATTGCAACGCATTTGAGACTTTTTATTTTTATTTTTAGAGAAGAGATTTGCAGTGGGAGTGGGAAGCTGGTGGAGAGAATTGGAGAAGCTGTGGCTTTGAGAGCCGATTCCTGGCTCAAGCTGCAGTGCGTGCCGCGCTAGCAAGCATGACTAGGCTAGGCTGCTGAGGAGTCGTCGGGTGCAGGGACGTGACAGGACCGCGAGGGCTGGTTCTTTATTCTATTGTTTCCACTCATCAAAAAGGGCTCTCAGCGAGCATACTCTGCCAGTCCCGGCTTTCCTGGTGGAATGGAGCCTTTGCTTTGCTGTAGCTAGTCACGATGGGAGTTTCGTCCATGTGAACACCTAATTCACACTGTCTATCCTGGCATTCCGGGCCACCAGCCTAGTGAAACTGGAACCTGTGGTTAGGCTGGGACTAGAGGACGGTAGTGCAGATTTGCTCCCAAACCACATAGCCACATTCTTCCTTGGAAGCTGAGAGGAAAGTCTGCATCCTCCTGTCCCACTACTCAGCAGCACTTCTCAAATACTATCGCTGGGGGTCCTGGTTAAATGCACATTCTGACTTAGAACCCCAATGAGGCCTGCATTTCTAGCAAGCTCCCAGGCCATGCAGCTACTCTGCACATGCACTTTGCAGAGCAAGACTATGTGTCAGCTACAATTCTCATTAAAACCTAAGAAGCTTCCAAATCTAATTAGGCCAGGTCCACCCCTACATACCGCTTTGATGAGTGGGGGAGTGCTCTTTAAATAGTAAGTTTTCTGAGAAGCCAGAATTGAGAGCCACTGGTATAAGCAGCCGCGAAGAGAGAGTTAGGCTGTAACCCAGGAGACTGAGTTCATACTGGGGCTACCCGTAGGTTTAGTTTATAACCAGGATTAAGAATTCAGTTTGTGATCAAAGAACACATTTGGTCCACGTGCTTTCAAACTCTCCACCTTACTTCACCTTCATTCAGCCATCAAAAATTTATTGAACCATTATATTATACTGGGCACTGTGCTAGCTACTACAGAGCCAGCATCAAATGAGACAGATGTGATATGTTTAAACAGACAGGTGACATGAACTGATTTGCAATTTAAAAAGATTACTTTGGCTGCAGAGTGAACAGATTGGAGCGAGGCCAAGTACATGTATGGAGAAGCTGTGGCATTAGACCATATGAGGGATACTGGTGGGGATCGATCAAGGTGGTGGTGGAGAGGGGTGGATGACTGCAAGAGCTACCTAGGAGGTGAATCAACAAGAATCCTCTCTCTCTCTCTCTCTCTCTCTCTCTCTCTCTCTCTCTCTCTCTCTGTACCAAGAATCAAACTCAGAACCTCATGATTTCCAGGAAGGTACTGTGCCCTGAGCTATACACCCAGCCCAATCAACAGGAATTGATAATGGATTGAACATGCAAAATGGTGAGAGAGGAGATTTGTTTGAGATCTCTTCTCAGGGCCACTGAATGGACAGTGATGCCACAGAAGCAGAGAAAACTGAAAGTGGGCCACTCTTAGAGAAAAGGTCATATGTTTGGTTTGAACAGAGATGTCATGAATGCAGTTAGACAAACTGTCTTAAACTCAGAGGTGCAATGTGAACTACAATTATGAATTTGGGAGCCATCAGGGTAGGTGTTCAAAGCCAAGGAAGGAATGGTTCACCTTTGTAAAGACTATGGAATGGCAAAGGAATAATGAAGCTAGGCCTTGAGGAGCTCTTAACATTGAATATCAGGCTCTGCGAAGGTCCATACTATTCGGGCTGTACTAGCTTCCCCTACTTCTAATCATTTCATCTTTCTGTCTCGTTCATCAAACATCTTTGGTGAAACAGCTCATGGTTTCCTCCTCTTCCATAAGCCCCACCCAATATCCCAATGGACATCCATTCCAACGCGGTGGTGTCTCTAGTTCTTGATTTCTTCACCTTTATCGTTGTCTTCACTACTCCTCAAGCAATACTCAGCATAGTTACACCTTGGGTTTGGACATTACTCTCAACTGCGCCACTTTAAAATCCACTCTTGCAAATCCTCCCTTCTGCTACATCTATATCTTCCAGTTTGCTTGCTTATTCCCAGGAGAATTGTTCTTCAGTATCATGGGCGGGTCTAACCCACTGATCTTACTTTTCTCCACTTCATCGTTCCTCTGCTATCTTAACTTCCTTGTTATCCAGCCTAAAGTCTATGATTTTTCACTTCAATAAGAAGGTTTGGCAATGACCATCATGCTTCTTACAGATCCCGAATAAAGAGTCGACGCTGAGCTCTTCAGTGAATATTCAGAGGAGGGTTTTCTGGGCCACAGAGTAAAATATAAAGCTAGGTATTCTGGGTACCCAGAATAGTAATACAGGTACAGAAGTTACCGTTTCATTTTGAAAATAGACATGACGTTCTTACATTCTGTGTGTGGGTGCACACACACATGGGTGTGCTGCAAACCTTGAGGAATTTATTAAAGCCTATGATCCCCTTCTCAGAGTAATAGAGTAAATGCATAAAATAAAATACAAAGGATTATAACAAAAATCAATTATACTGAAATACAGTTATCAATATTTTGGTTAAGTTTGTCATATCTGTGCCTCACTATTAGCGCATTAAATAAAAGGATCTGGCAGTGAGTCTTGCAGCTATCATAATTTCAAAATAGTGATGAACATATTGCTATGGAAAGAAATCTACTTCTCTCTAATGTGATATGAATGTATGAGTCATTTCTGTTGGAGACAAAGTCACAATCCCTCTAGTACTACAGTGATTTGTTGCTTGCATTTATGACCACAAGAAATGCTAACATGTAGTTAAAAGATAGCAGAATTAAAGATGCATTTCTCTCCATCCAAGTTTATGAGCCCTTAGAGGAATAGCGGCCCCAAGTTAAGGGTCTACGTAGACTTTCTGGTTTTCCCTTTTAGAAATTGCCCTTTATCTTCATCTATTTGGGCTGCAGTTTGTAACAAAAATAACACAGTCTGGGTGGATTATAAACCAGAAATTTATTTCTCACAGTTCTAGAGTCTGAAAAGTTCAAGATCAAGGTGGTAACAGATTGTAATATATCTTCTGACTGGGTCCTTAAATGAGGAAAGGGGCGAGAGATCTTTCTGGATTCTGTTTCATCTGGAAACTAATCCCATTAATGAGGATTCCACCCTCATGAGGTTCCACCCTCATGACTTAGTCACCTCCTAAAGCCCCCACCTTCTAATACCATTGCCTTAAGGGTCAGTATTTCAACATGTGAATTTAGGGCAGTGCCATGATTTCAATGTTGAATGTCTCTCAAAGGTCCACTTAAAAAGACCTGGTCTCCTAGTAGAAGGTTTAGAGGTGGGGCCTAGTGGGAGATCCTTAGGTCATTAGAGGCTTGCCCTTGAAAGAGATTACTGGTCCAGTGTCTCTTCCTCTCTCTCTTTGCTTCCCAATTTGTGATGTGAGTGGGTTTGCTCTTCACGTGTTCCCACCATGATGGGGTGCCTTACCACAGTCCCAAAAACAACAGAGCCAACCAGTCATGAACTGGAACCTCCAAAACTGTGAGCTACAGTGAATATTTTTTCTTTGTAAGTGAAACTCTCAGGTATTTCATTAGTGACAGAAAACTGATAAACACAAGAGGAAGCTGACACCTAGAACACAACACTCTTTGTTTCAAGCCTCTTCATTGGAGGCCTGTTTTTCAAAAGGAAATGGTGGATTGGACATTTGATTTTTGGAAATCACTTGAGGTCCTGCCTTCCTCCTTCTTAGAGTCCATTTTGTTTAGCTATCTCTTTTTGCAAGTAGTATTTTCCACCTCAAGTGGGTTTTTTTTCCAGGTCATGTTAACTGAGTATCTGATAAATACATGGTTGTGATGAGCCCCGGCTTTGGAAAGGGGGATCATAGAGAAATTGCTATCAATAATAACAGTGCCCTATGATCAATTGCTTTTTACATGCCTGGCTCCTTGCTGGCACTTCAAAGATGTACTGACTGCCTATTAAATACTAGGCCCTGGTCTAGGAGCTGTGGGCACAGCAATGAGTGAGACAGATAAACTCCCAATTTTTATAAAGCTTGTACTCTAGTAAGACAGATGGTATACAACATAGAAAAGAATGCAGTATGCCTGACTGTGATAAGTACTTAAAGAAACAGCAGAGAAGGGAGATGGGGGTACAGTGTCAGTGTCAAATGAACTAAGGAAGGGCTCATTGAGGAGGTGGACACTTGAGACTAGATCTGAAGGTAGTGAGGCACTGAGCCTTTGCAGACATTTGGAGGAAGCACACTCTAAGTAGAGCGAACAGCTCGGTAAAACCCTGAGATCAGAGTGTGCTTGGCATGTTTGTTTGAGGAATGTGGAGGGGGCCCGAGGGCTGTGGAAGAGCAAGTGGGAGGAAGATTGGTCAGAAATGAGGGCAGAGAAGAAGTGGGAGGAAAGGTTGTAGACATGCAGGGCCGGGAGACCACTGCAGTGACCTCGGCCAGAGCAAGACGGAAAACTATTGGGGGAACTGAGCAGAGTCCCTCAGTAACTCTGTCAGGCCATAGTATCATTATTCTCATGTTGTAATAAGGGAAATACAACTCAGGAAAGTTTAGTGACTTGGCTGGGACGTGGCAGACTGCAACTTGACCAGAAGCCTCCATGGAGGCCAGACACCTTGCCCCCTAGTGCTAGGCTTGGAGGAGGATGAGCAGGCTTCTTAATTGTTTCTGCTGCATCCAGGCTGATGACCCTTTGCCATTTTCCAAGGATCACACTCTACTCTCTGTCTACTACCCTCGCTGTAGCCACCAAACTGCTGCTGAACTGTGGGCTCTTTTGGAACACCTGCTATGTGCCATGCACTGTTAGATGTTGAGAGTAAAATGATGAATAAAAGAAGTCAGCTCCCTAGTCGTCTGGAGCTTTTTATTCTAGTGGATGGGGATACAGGTAAGTAGGAAAATAAACATAGAACAGGCATTAGTAATAAGATCCCTGCAAAGGAAATCACATGGCTACTTTATATAAG